GAGGAAGTTCCTTTGGGTGTCAGAAAGGATTTGTTTTTCATGCATGATGGGTCTTACGCTTATTTTAGTCAAGTAGCACGTCAGCATTTAACTGAAACATATGCAAATCAGTGGATAGGTCGAGGAGGACCACAGAACTGGCCCGCTCGATCCCCGGATCTCAATCCTCTCGACTTCTCTATTTGGGGCCATTTACAGCATTTGGTTTATCGTACTCCTGTTNTATATTTCAATAGTTTTGTAAAAATATATATCCCACAATGGAAAATATCGAACATACTTTGGCTGTGATCAGAACCCATCTCTTTCAGGAAAAGGAAACGAAGTGTTGTTATACCAGTTATACTTTTATATTAGTTCAATCCAAAGACCTCCAAACATATGTGATAGAATTAGATGTTCACTGAGCAGTTCACAAAACCGCCAACACGTGTTTCATTATATATTAGCTTCCTCGGGCGTATTCACCATTCAATAGCTTCTTCAACCATTCCATGTAATACTTCATTGTGGAATGTTAACAAAACCGCGACACGTGTCTCTCTTTACATAAGCTTCCTCGGGCGTGTTCACTATGCAATAGCTATTCCAGGCGTTTCATGTATTACTTCATTGTGAGATGTTCACTCGACAGTTCACAAAACCGCAACGCGTGTTTCACTATACAATAGCTTCCTCAGGTGTGTTGACTATACAATACCTTCCGCAGACCTTCCATGTAACACTTCATTGTGAGACGTTCACTGGACAGTTCACAAAACCGTAACACTTGTTTCATTATATATTAGCTTCTTCGGGCGTGTTCAGTGTGAAATAGCTTCTTCAAGCATTTCATGTAACACTTCATTGTGGAATGTTCACAAAACCGCAACACGTGTCTCTCTTTACATTAGCTTCCTCGGGCGTGTTCACTATGCAATAGCTTCTCCAGGCGTTTCATGTATTACTTCATTGTGAGATGTTCACTTGACCGTTCACAAAACCGCAACACGTGTTTCACTATACAATAGCTTCCTCAGGTGTGTTGACTATTCAATACCTTCCTCAGATCTTCCATGTAACACTTTATTGTGAGACGTTCACTGGACAGTTCACAAAACCGCAACACTTGTTTCATTATATATTAACTTCGTCGGGCGTGTTCAGTATGAAATAGCTTCTTCAGGCATTTCATGTAACACTTCATTGTGAAATGTTTACCAAACCGCAACACGTGTCTCTCTTCACATTAGCTTACTCGGGCGTGTTCACTAGGTAATGGCGGTCCAGGCGTTTCATGTATTACTTCATTGTGAGATGTTCACTTGACAGTTCACAACACCGTAACACTTGATTCTCTATGCAATAGTTTTCTCAGGTGTGTTTACTATACAATACCTTCCTCAGACATTCCATGTTACATTTCATTATGAGACGTTCACTGGACAGTTCACGAAAACGCAACACATGTTTCCCCATACATTAGCTTCCTCGGGCGTGTTCACAATGCAATTGGCGTTTCATGTAACTTTTCATTGTGAAATGTTCACAAAACCGCAACACGTGTTTCATTATATATTATCTTTCTCTGGCGTGTTCACTATGCAATAGCTTCCTCAGGTGAGTTGACTATACAATACCTTCCTCAAACATTTCATATATCACCTTATTGTGAGATGTTCACTGGACAGCTCACGAAAACGCAACACGTGTTTCGCCATACATTAGCTTCTTCGGGCGTGTTCACTACGTAATAGTTTCTTCAGGCGTTTCATGTCTGAACACTTGAACGGAAAGTATTGTATAGTGAAATATGTATTGCGGTTTTGTAAACTGTCCATTGACTCTTACAACTGACTGTTATTTGAATACCGTCAGAAAAGGTTTCCAAATGCACGCTCATTAAATGGTAATGTTCACATCCAGCTGAGGACGAATTCTTCACATAAGACGAGCCATTATCGATAGCATCGCCACCTTCACCAGCTATAGCCAATACATACTGGATTGATTTGAAACGTTGGTTTTTGAAAAACCTACCGAAAAGCTTTGAGTCTGATTGAGATACATTGGCGACACCTCCATAGTGTGGAACTAGGGAGATACGGAACCGAACACTTTTTTCAAAACCTCAATGGCGTATGACGCCATAAACAATGTTGAAAAAACCCACCATAACTTACTATTTCTAGACGTAATGGTGAAGAGGACCGACAACAATTAGGAAATATTTGTAAACGGGGAAGCAACTCGCATGGGATATTATCTAAATACAAGAACCATCAATCTACCACTCGATCCAATTGATCAACATTAGGTCTCACTAACATTAAGGGAGAAAGTCTTGGCAAAAAATTGAGCCTCATCAGAAAAGATCTTTAACAGAATAGTGAACCACAAGAAGCTGGTAGAAGACAACAGGCGCCCTACATAGAAGAAAAGCTATTCCAATCAGTTCTAAAGTAGCACTATAACAAAAATCAAGCCACCAAACTCAGACAAGGACTAGTAAAACACCTTTTAATGAACACCAAGTGATTCCACCAAGTAACTATTTCATTTGAGAGTACAATAAAAACATCCAACAAGGAAAATCAGCAAATAGCACATAATGGAACATGTTTGAACTCACCAATGTAAACCCGAAACAAACACTTCTCCCAAATACCGGAATTGCCTTCTCGACGTGTGTTCCACCAATCAAGTTGGGGTCTTCAGTACATGAACTAGACTGCATTCCCTGAAGTGTTGCAGTTCTAGTAACTTACTATTTCTAGACGTAATGGTGAAGAGGACCGACAACAATTAGGAAATATTTGTAAACGGGGAAGCAACTCGCATGGGATATTATCTAAATACAAGAACCATCAATCTACCACTCGATCCAATTGATCAACATTAGGTCTCACTAACATTAAGGGAGAAAGTCTTGGCAAAAAATTGAGCCTCATCAGGAAAGATCTTTAACAGAATAGTGAACCACAAGAAGCTGGTAGAAGACAACAGGCGCCCTACATAGAAGAAAAGCTATTCCAATCAGTTCTGAAGTAGCACTATAACAAAAATCAAGCCACCAAACTCAGACAAGGACTAGTAAAACACCTTTTAATGAATACCAAGTGATTCCACCAAGTAACTATTTCATTTGAGAGTACAATAAAAACATCCAACAAGGAAAATTAGCAAATGGCAGATAATGGAACATGTTTGAACTCACCATTGTAAACCCGAAACAAACACTTCTCCCAAATACCGGAATTGCCTTCTCGACGTGTGTTCCACCAATCAAGTTGGGGTCTTCAGTACATGAACTAGACTGCATTCCCTGAAGTGTTGCAGTTCTAGTATTTGCGGGACGTGCTTGTTTTAGACATATTTTACACAAGAGGTTCCACTTTTACTTATCATCATCAACATATCATCAGGTTCAATTCAATGCTACAAAAGCCAAGCATCGGTTTTCTCCAAATAGATAAATGTATCCGAACCGGATATAATAATGTCAGGTCACACAATTCTACTTTCTGCTTCGATAAGTTTGTTGGGGATTAAAATACACACCAATATGTCTTGGCACAATCATGTATCTGGAATTGCAAATCCGCTTCTCAGAAGCTTGGAACACTGTTCCGAACCAGTAAACTGTACACACCTCAGCAACTTTTGATCCTTTATAAAGCTCAGATCAAACCTTCTTCGGAGTATTATTCTCATGTATGGAGCTCCGCGTTAAGTATTTCCTGAAGCTGCTGGATTTCATCCAGAAAAGAGCCATACGCCTGATATTGGAGATACGAACATCACTTGAAACCTTGATAGTCTGTAACATCGAAGAAAGGTTGGAGATTTGTCTCTGTTCTATAAATACATTCACGGAAAGTGTTCAAGTGATTTCAAAAACTACACCTCACGATTTGAACTCCACCAAAGTTTGTGGAGACCAAATCCTGAGGTGTTGTTTTTGAAATTACTATGGATCTTCATCAAGTAACGGCCGAATCAATCAGAAAAAAAAGTGTCTTCAAGTGACTTGTTACATTTGATTCCACCAAAAGCGGTACATATCAGAAATACTTGACGGACTGTGGCTGCCCATCGTTTTGAGGTTCAATTCAGTACACCTCGAACTTCACTGTTCGAGAACTCTTCAATTTGGAGAACTACTTTCTCATAGGCACCGCTCCTAGTGCGCCTTAAGGATTTTGCTGTAGTGCTTGTTTTTTGTCATTCAAAAAAAGTGGTTGGAAAATGAAATCATCCACAGGAAGAACACCAAAATTTGATTTTCAAGAAAGTTATATGTTAGCATGACATTAATTTTTATAAATGAAGTGACATTCTTTCAGAACTATTTTCCTATTTTCAAATCTTACAAAAAAGAGCACAGCAATGAGTACAGTTCTAGAGTGTTATCAACTACAATCTCATTGCATGAAATATGTATATCAAATGGAACATATATTTTTAACATCACAGTTATCAGATAACCGTGATGTTGAAAATATATGTGATGGACATATTTCCAAAATGTTATCATGAATCTAAATACGAGTACAGAGGTAGCTAGTAAATCAGCAAGGAACCTAAATGTCTTCGAATTACTTCAGGATTCGGAAAATATTGACATTTGTTATTTTTCAAAATTGTCGAATATCTATGGTAATTGATTATATTTCACCATCGCTATTGAAAATATATCATTGATTAAAGAAATCCAGATTCTTACACCCATATTCCAGGTTTCATAATGACAATCTCAAATTTTCAAAAATCCTTCATAACAGGTTTTTCGTTAAGCATAATCATTATAAATTTTTTTATTATTCCCTCAACCTCCCATAACTCTTCAGAAATTCATTAATTATATTTTTTTCTTTTAGTATCGATACCTAATTTTCAGACTGTTTCTATATACTGAACGTCAGGAACAATAATTGAAAAAAAAGAGAAATATTATTTTCGAATTCTTAATGGTTTCATAAAAAGTGTTATTATTGACTTCCAATACAATTTTTTTGTAGTGAATCGTATCCTGCAACCGTCTATTATAATGAATCATCATACGCAAGTACTGCTCAGGAAATAAAGAGGGAGAGTGACATAGGACCTGTAGTCACCCACGTATATTATTTGAGCAACCAAGGACCAGCCACGATACAAGAAGCTGAAATTTTTGTTTTGTGGCCTCTCACCACACTTGGAGGAGATGATCTCCTCTATCTTCTAGATAAGCCCCATACCCGTGGCAACGTCGTCTGTGATGCAGCTCCTAATAACTATAAACATTACGAGGTGAGATAAATAATTATATCGTTATATTCTTGGGAAAGGAAGGTTTGGCTTTTCTACTTCATCTCTATACAAAAAATTGTGAAAATCTTCCAAAGAAAGTAAGGAAGCCATCAATTTCCAAATATTAACTCAATACAATTTGAACAAGTTATATTCTTCTTATTCAATGTCATGCAATCGATGCAGTTTTCAAAATGATCCTATATTACATTATTTTTCTTTATTGGTCCCCTGTGATAACAGTACAACCAGCTGTAAGGATCAGTAACATATTTGTGATTAGAAGAAGATTGTCCCCATACAGAGCAGCAGTAGTTACATGCGTGTTATTCGCGTTCTAAATGAGGGACAAGAAGGTTTAAATTGAATATGACGTGAATCAAAATAAGGGAATATGCTAATAAAACACTCCAGAAACATGTGAAATCATCAACATAAGCTATCCGAACATTTGTACCTCTCAGTTAAACTTGTCGCCCACTTGTCCAGCACAGCAGAGCACGGCGCTGTTCGTCGCCTGATGGCGACGGATAGTACCATCGCCCACTTGTCCAGCTACAACCAGCATACTGAAGACGCTGTTTCGAGGGAATTTCAGTTGACGTCGAGCGGTGACAGAAACATGTCTATCACTAGCAGTTCTGACGAAGAAGAGGTCTTTATAATGGGCGCATTATTGAATGTAGAAGAAAATAATCACAAAAAAGAATGTTGTGGGTCCATTCCTTTAATCAATAGAGGGCGAATCTGGGAGAGTTCCATAATCTTTCCAACGACCTGAAAGAAGACGAGGAGAAATTTTTCCAGTATTTGTGAATGACTTCAGGCAAATTTTCAGAACTTCTGAATATTCTACAGCCTGCCTTAACAAGCCACTCAATTTTTCCTCGTCCACTTTCCTAGGTACCGTCTGACACCGTGCTAACAACTGATGGATTAGGAAACTTCCCAGGCACGTTTGGGCAAGTTTATGCTGGCAAGCGCTGCTCGGCGACGCGCTCACTTGGCCAGTCCGTCACAGCACGTACCGTTATTTGCCGGACAGGACCGTAGGGCTGAAATCCTTTCCGGCGGCGGACGCTCTTGGCCGTTCTGTGCCATGCCGGGCTAATAAGCGGTTGTCCATTCATTTTCATTGTTTCAATCCTATACGTATTTTGAAGGGACGGGCCGTGCTGTGCTGTGGCAAAGAAGTGGGCGACAAGCTCAAGTTCGCGAGACTACAACTGAATTTTACAATCTTTTCGTCATTCTAATGAATTATATTTGGTGGAATCGACCGATACTTGATGAAAATCCATAACGTATTCAAGAAACACTTTATTGTGAGATTTCACTAAACGGTTTCAAATCATCTAAAGGAATGATCAATTCAGGTCTACCTGTCTACACAGTAGGTTAATGGACTAACACGTATCAGATAATAATTATTTCTTTGGATAATACCACGAAAGGCGTTGGATTATATCCAACAGGTGTCAGAGCAGAATTCTTTCCAGAAGAAATCCTGCATATGCTTTTGGCAATACAACTGCCGGAAATGGGCACACTTGCCCATTTCCGGCCCGGTTTCGGGCTATTTGGCGACTCGTCAGTGCAAGGTGGTGTCCATGCGAACGACAAACAACACATCTCCATCTGCCCGTAGACGAGTTACTAACCAATCGCATATCCGAATGACCCGATACCTCTAATAAGAAAATAAATTTATCATATTAGTCAGATATCAGTCACATAGTAGTTACATAATCACATATAGTCACATATCAATCACATATCAAATGATTTACATTATAGCCAGTCTTCAAGTATGTCCACATATTAATAATGTTAACAGTTTTACAAAAACTCAAAACGTGTTTCGCTCTACAATAACTTCTTCGGGTGTGCCGTCGATGTTCTTACATACGTCAATTATGAAAATAATAACATTGATGAAGAATTTTCTCTGTGAGAAATTGAAGAGCATTCAGGTACTACGAAACGTACCGTACTAGCAATTCTTAAAAAATACAGGTATCGTCCGTACAAAATTCGAAAGATGCATAATTTAAAACCTGATGATTGCATATGTAGAATTAGATAATGAGATGACTCTTGAGGAAGAACCACATTGACAATAGAATTGGTTTCAAAACTTTGTAGACAGATGAAAATAGGTTCACTAACAATGGCAAGTTCAATCACAATTATCACTTTTATTGGAGTGATGAGAAGTTTCCAGCCCATAATATGAATTTCCAAGAAAGTTTTGGTATCAATGTTTGGATTCGTGTATTGAATAGAATATTGATAGGACCAATTTTGTGAAATCTTGCTATGTTTTTGAGAATGAAAAATAATTTTATTGCATGTCCAGAGACAACAATAACAACATTTCTGATGATGAATAATTTTGTTATTTTTGCATTACTTTCAATAATAATTGATTACGGATATGGTTGTACAATGCAAGGTTCTACAGAAACCCCCCTAATAAAAATTTGTAGACTCAGTTACAAAATGCAAAAAAAAAATTCAAAAATTCAGTGGTGCACATTTTTTGTCAGATATATTGGTTGAGGTCATAATCATTTCAGTCTAGTGATGGTTGAATTAGCCTCTCACTACTCCAAATACTACTGATAAATTTCAACAGATGCTGCTAAAGGATTGTTGGGAAAAAAATTATTTCCTTCATAAATGTTGACTTCTTGAAAAGGAATCATTACCGGACCTATGTTCAGATGAACTTTTCTTCTTAGAATTACTCCTTTCAGTTTAGCCACGTACTTACATCACATTCTTGCGCACTGAAATAATTCATTTATAATAACATCATTCAATATTTCCAGCTGGATTATCATCGAACTCCTATTTGGGACAGACTGAAGATTGATACGTCAAGTATTGAACAGACAAGTTCCCAGCAAACCTCGCAAGGCAAAATAACCGAAACTGGTGGGGGTGTCTCAAGTGGGGTGGGGGTTGTTAATAAAAATACCAACATCGAAAAAGAAATCAAAGGGAGCGGAGGAGATTCATCTTTGGTCTTTGAAAAACGCTATAACGAAAGTCAGGTCAATAGTTGGGGAACTCTCAATCCAAATGGACTTTATGAGTACAGAGAATCTCGATATTCTACGACGATGGTAAATGGTGTACCGGTTACCAGGTGGGAAAATAAAACCACCATCAGAGATGCCAAAGGAAATATTCTGAATACTTATTATTTCAACGACAACACTGATGAAACGGCGGGAGGCGGTGCGTCAAAAGCTCATGGAAAAACACAAAATGAAATCTCTTCGGAAGGAACTCAAAAATTCACCATACACGGAGGAACTGGTGGAGGAGATTATTCTTCTTCCTCTTCCTTCGAAAATCTCCACAACAATAGTCAAGGCAACAGTTGGGGAACTTTGAAACCTAACGGATTATACGAATATACCGAGGCTAAATATTACACAACAATGGTCAATGGTATACCAGTCACGAAATGGGAAAATAAGACTACCATCAGAGATGCCAAAGGGAATATCGTAAACACAGTCTATCAAACCGATAATACCGATCAACTGGCGGCTTCTGGGGCCAGATCGCAAGAAGAATTGAGAATACAAGGTGTAAATTCAGAACAAGAGAATTACAGGCTGATGGAAGAACGCAGAAAACAAGAACAAATTCGAATAGATGAACAAAGGAGACTGGAAGAGAAGAGACGTGAAAATGAACGTATCAGAATGGAAGAACAGAGAAGAGAGGAGCAGAGAAGACTGGAGGAACGTAGACGAATTGAGGAGCAGAGAAGAATTGAGGAGAGTCGAAGGCTAGAGGAGAAGAGAAGACAAGAAGCCCTAAGGAGGCAGGAAATGGAAAGACGGCAAGAAGAACAGCGGAGACAAGAAGAACAACGGAGACAAGAAGAACAACGGAGACAAGAAGAACAACGGAAACAATTAGCAGATTATGAAGCAAGGTACGGAACCAGATACCAATCAGGGGGAGAAAATCTGAATTTCAGAACGGAAGAAGAGAGGAGACGGTATTATGAGGAACTGCGAAAACAAGAAAGTCGAAGGCAAGGTAAAAAACAATATTTTATAGTTTTTTTTTTTTATTTTCAATTCATATATTGTAGATTGTAAGGATAATTGGAAAAACATTTTATTTTAACATCAACATGAATTTCGTAAATCCGGAAAACAGAGAGAATTACAAGATGTTGTTACATACAACAAAAAATTAAGGTTCTCACTAGATTTGAATGAAGCTTTCGACATTGTTGGTCATTGAATCCTGTTAGAAATGAATAGATAAAATCGGAGTCAGGGGTGTTATTCATCGTTGTGTTCAAATTTCTGTAAAAAACACACCGTGCGCAGTTTGTAGGAATCGAAAATGATATTAGTCACTGCAGAAATTCAACACGTGGAGTTCCACAAGGATCAATATTGGAACCTTAACTATTTTTGATATATACATGTTGTATTTCTTTTGTAGAGTTAGGCTATACAGATTATACTATCATTTTTCATTGTAGATATGACTTTGAATAATGGAAAAATCAAAATTCATCTTTGGTTACATAAGTTCATAAATTGACATGAGTTCATGAACTCGGGAAAAATATGTGATGGATATTTCTCATTCGAATTTGAAACTAATGAAGCAATATACAAAAAATATACAAAATTTTCAGGACTCTATATTGATGAAAAAATATTTCACCATTGTCAGTATTCTCTAGAGAATACGAATTCATATTGATCTCAAATATTCAATGCACATATATCATACTTATATATTTTTAATTTAAAAAATTAGGGGACCTTCAAATAACGCGATTCTGAATCCATTGAGGAAGAAGCTTCAAAATAAATCTATGAAACTGAAACCCACAAAAGATTTATATGAATCAAATCCATTATTGAATTTGGATTCATCAATTAACAATTTGTTACTTCATAATAGATCAAGAATATGGCAGTTTGAGATCCCACGGAAAATAATTTCGTTCATAATTTTTGGAATGAGCAGATCCAAATTGTCAATTGGGAAACATTTTATTCTGCATAAGAGTTTAATATAGGAATGTAGGCTTTCACGGCTCGCGTCAATGTTTTGAGTTGACACGTCAAGAAGAGTACTTTGACCATGCCACTGAAGATTACTGCCGCAGTTGCAGTCGAAACGTTTGGAGATTATAACCAAAGAAGAGCACTGCAAAACCCGGAAACCAACCGAAACATAAGAATATGATATTTCATAATACGCTATCAGACAACTCTGAAACCATGAAATGTTTTCAAAAATGTGTGTAAAAAAATTGTCCATTAGATAAATAGCATTTTCAAAATCGATAATTCATCATAATTATAGCCAAGTCATATAGTCAAAATTTCTAGGAAAATTTAAAATAAATTTGGAGTTGAAGGTTATACAGGGCGTTCCAAAGAAAACTTAACCCCCCTGTAAGTCAGAAACGGACGTGTAATCGAAAATTTCAAAGAACACGTCAATTTTTATTTCTAGGGGGACTTCACCCCCTGCGATCAGCAACTACCACCCCTATTTTTATCAATTTCATGGGGAGTCGAGTGATACATCATTTGAAAGGTCTTTTGTCCCTCTATCGAGAAATTGAATGTTGACCTTTTCATTTGAGAAAAAACAAAAGTCGCTGTCGTAAATTTTAATGAGGAAATCAACAACAAATAATATCAGTGGAACAATCTCTGTCACAGGTCTTCTAGATTTGTAGGCTTAGTAGACTTCACTTCCGACTTCAGGTGTCATCACAGAAAGAAGTCCATCGGTGTGGAATCAGGTGATCTAGCTGGCCACTACAGTGAACCCCTGCTGCCGATCCAACACATTGGAAAACGTTCGTCCAAAAACTATCTCACTCGAACATCAAAATGTGGCGGTGCAGCATCCTGCTGGAATATTATTTCATTTTCTACTAAATTGTCATCATTTTCTAAAAATAGTGTAATCATAGGATCTACATCTTGTTATAGATTCAAGTATGTGTCTATTGAGACTACCTTCAATGAAGAATGGTCCAACAATATGATTACCAGAAATGCCGGCCCAGACATTTAATTTTTGTGGAGTTGGTGAATGTGCTTCCATCACCAAATGAGGATTCACATCGCTCCAGTAACGACAATTATGTCTACTTACTTTACCATTCAACATGATAAAACTTTCTTCTGAAAACCATATACCTACTGTATAATAGGTGTGGGCTATTGGTCAATTTGCTGAACACGTCACAAAACTGAAGTCGACGATCAGTAATCATCTTTGTTTAATTTGAAGGGATGCAATTTGTAGGCTTTCAAAATCCGAAAAACACTAGTAGCTGATACACCAGACGCTCTAGCTACTTGTCTGATAGATTGACAAGTATCCATTTGTGCATATCCTAAAACTGCAACTTCAACTCCGTCATTTCTGACAGGACGGGATATTTCATGTTTTCTGTTGTGAACAGAACTTGAAGTTCGAATCTTATCCATTAAGTGTTCAACGTATTGATGGCTCACGTTGTGGTCTGGATGATTGTATTAGCAGCTTTAGCACATTCATTATTTCGATAATAGGTTGCAACAATTTCTATTTTTTCTTCAGTAGAATGAAACCATGTTGGAATACAGTAATAAGGATGACTGAATAATAATTCGTGAAAAAGTTACAGTGGCCAACTATCTACTTTTTGTTCTGTGACAACTAGATTCAACAAAAACCACCAGTGCAGAAAAAACTAACAGTGTCGTCCATTTCAAAACGTTTACTGCTGATTAAATTGATTCTAAAAATCTAGAAAACCTGCGACAGAGAATTGTTGGGGAATGCCGATTTCTGACTCCGGACATCTTTAATAATTCAAGGAACGCTTTCGAAAGTAGACTGTATTATTGTATGGAACTAGATGGAGGTCATTTTGAACACTTTATCGGTTGACTTTCTCCTTTTTCTTGAATAAAACGTTCAACATTCAATTTCTCAATAACGAATGAACCGATTTCGAAAAAAATCACAGAAGTAATAGAGGGACAAAATACCTTTCAATTGATGTATCACTCGACCCCCCTGCCATTGAAAACAATAGGGGGGGTAATTGCTGACCGCAGGGAGGTGAAGTTTTGGATATGATTTCCATATCAGAATAAATAACCCTAGAAATAAAATTGAAGTGTTCTTTGAACTTTTCGATTACACGACCGTTTCTGAGTTACAAGGGGTGTCAAGTTTTCATTGGAACGCCTTGTATCATGCCATTTCGAATCATTTAAGGAACTCATACTAGTATTGAATTTATATCAATTTGCCACTTCTTTTTTCAAATCAGTTGAAGGAAAATGAAAATCTCATTGCACACGAAATATTGTCACCAAATTCATAAATACCTTTTTATATTTGTAGGTTCCATCGGAAGTTACGAAGGTTTCAATATTGGAACGCAAGACAGTTTAGGAGGAATCAATAGAGGACAGCAACAAACCACAGTCGATAGAAACCGAGTACTTACTGGATACTTTGACGAGAATGGTGTCTATCGTGATATACCAAGAAACCCCAAAGGTATGGAAAAATGTTTCGATGTAAAAATTTCATAAGTAATGACAATTCAATGAGCTGCTTTCTTTTCGACACTGATAACATGATTTGTTCGCTAGTCATGCTCTTTTTTTGTACAACTGCAATGTAACATATGTAATATATTCAATTCTAATATACGCTGTCTGTCCAAAAGGTGAATTTTCATTTTTCTCAAAAAATATTCATTTATTCGTCCATTTCTATTTTGTGCCCTTTAAAGTAGTCCCCCTTAGATATAAGACACTTATCAGCGTTTTTCCCAATCCTCGAAGCAGTTCTGATATGCACTTTTTGATATGTCCTCGAGCTCTCTCAGCAATTCGATTTTGATCTGCTCAATCATCGCAGAAAGCCGTATTTTCATGAGTCTCTTCATTCTTGGGAACAGGAAAAAGTCGCAGGTAGCAAATCTGGCGAATACGGTGGCTGAGGCATTATTACGGTGTTGTTGTTGTACAAAATATTACGAACAAACAATGGCAAGTGAGCAGGTGTATCACCGTGATGCAAAAGCCATGAATTGTTTTTCCACAATACCGGACGTTTTCATCGTATTGCTTCTCGCAAACGACGCATAACTTCAACTTATTAACTTATTGACCATACGACCGTGTGGCAAGAACTGCTGATGTACTACGCCACGGTATTTGAAGAAATCAATGATAAAAACCAAGACATTTTTGGTCTTGGCTCTCCTAGGCTTTTCCATTGGGACGATTGTACTTTGGTTACGATGTATAGCAATATACCCATAATTCGTCACCAGTTATGGCACTTTTGAGCAAATCTAGATCTCCGTTGCCGTCATTCAGGTATTCCTGAGCGATGTTGATGCGGCGGTTTTTTTAGTCAAATTTCAGCAATTTTTGAACGAACTTCGCTGCGTTGCGTCTTCATTGACATCTTCTCAACCTTCTATGAAAAACTTGTACCACTTGTAAACATGTTTCTGACTCAGAGTACAATCATCATATATCACTGTCAACATTTCCAGTGTTTTTGAGCACTTCATTTCATTTTTCACTCGAAATTTTTTGCAAATTCTTTGATCCATTTTTTTTTCGATAGCAGAAAATCGCCGAGCACGCAAATCACTTGCAACTTTTATACCTCTCACCAACAAACAGCTGAAACAACATAAAAAACGGTAATCAAATGTATTTTGCCCGCGACATTTGAATATTCACTTTATTTTTTGAACAATTCACGTACGACAGTTACAACTTCCAGCAGCAGTTACTACACATCTCCCCATCACGCCCTCAGAAGGAAAAAAAATACAGATTTCTTGTGTATGTATATTTGAAATCTACTTTTTCAGTATCTAAACGATAGTAGGTATATAGGCGCATTCCCAACAAACATACAGTTCCAACTTGATATCTTCATGTATCAAAACACTAAGTATACAATAATTGGCCAACAATCAATGAAACTCCATAACGTATATAGTTTACAAAACCGCAACATTTGTTTCGCTATACAGTAGCTTCCTCAAATATTAAATTCTACTTGTGCTTGTGCTTTATAAGTTAACAACTTTTTCATATATTATTACAGCTTATGTATATATGTTTAATTCCGTCAACAGCGAAATTCGACAAATTTTTTGACTGGCTCATGTACCTCCTATGAAGTCATCATTGGACTTTCCTGTATTATAAAATTTCAAATTTTTTCATATACCGTTACAGCGTATTATATAGGGGTGTTCTAACATACATACGCAAAATCGTCTAAGTTTGTTATTAGTTAAACCTGCCCAATCACCACAAGTCCTGACGCGTACCAAATTATATCTTAGCCATCATGAGGTCTTTAGTCACGGTTACTGGAGAATCTGTATCTAGTGATATATGTACTAGAAAACAGCCTAAACAGCTCTCTGAAAACCCAACTTTCTGACTGGCCCCTTCTACCTACATAATTACTGATAATTTCACCAGTAATGTTCTGTTGTGATGTTGAAATTTTCAATAAATGTTCACTTGAACTCAAGTAAAATTATTAGTCACCAGGTAGGTAGAAGGTCATATGATTCAAATTGTTATTATATGTATAAAGCACAAATTGTAACTTTGGACATGTGTGTCCAACGTTCTTTGGTCAATTACTAACAAAGTGATCACTTTTGGACTTACATCACGCTGTGCAATTTATTTTTTTGGACATTTATGTCCATTTATTTTTCCCAATTTCTCTCAAGGTACCGTTTGAAACTATAGATCCATAATGCGAAGTTTTTATTCTCACTCCATTTAATTATAATATAATTCAGCCGCTGCATATTGTAAAATTTGGAGAAAAACTTTGAGTCCGCTGGCGGACTAATTCCTCAGTAAAAAATTTCTTTTTTCTGGCCACTGACGGTAAAGATTTAGCACCCCTTGTTTATGAAGCAATTGCTTTCTCAAAAAGTTTGAAGAAAAATAAATGATTCCTGTCTCTGATTTAAACTCAAATGAATAGTTCATTAATGCAATGGGGAATGTTCCTCCTGACGAAAATCGAGTAGTTTTCATAAAAGAGCTCTAAAACAACGCATTTTAAACTCATCATTTCAACCTTTTTCTTTAAAAAATTATTCAAATTCTTAAAAAAGAGGAATGAAATAATGCATTCAACATTTAAAGAGATTCGTTTCTATTTCACCATTTGGCAACATCGGTTATAGCTAATAAAGAACAATGAATCTGTTACCTGTATGAGACAAACAAAGATGACATATTTCAGAGGCGTGCTGTTCTGTTTACTTATGTTCCGAGTTCCGAGACATTCTGTGACATTTTGTGCACCTAACCTATCTTCCTCTATAAAAGTAAATAACAAAACAACTATTGTTTATGTGACTTGTGGAGGTGGTATTGAACTATAATTTATATTTTGCCTCAATTTGACACTATTGACACGATTCTCCTTCTTCTAACATACTACTAACCTGAACTCCGATCTAGCATTCTAGGCGCTGTTGCCAATATGTGAAACACAATATGTGAAACAAATCCCTATAAAAATTAAAACCCAACATTTTCGAAGTGAATTTGAAAAACTCATGAATTAAACTCAACTTTATTTTGTTTAAACTTGCATTTGCTGTAATAACCGAAATTGATTAACATTCCCCATGGATTAATAAAAGACAAAGCTGGAGCATTCGACGTTGAATAAATCCAAAACAAGCACCAATAACCAAAAATGCAATACTTTTCTCGAAACCCTTTACACCAATTAAGTTGATATCTTCAGTAGATGAAAGGGAGATTGGGAAAAGTGATTGTTTTGCATTTGTCAGAAATTTGAACATAAAATAATTACGAATGAAATACCTATTTATATTATATTCAAAATGGTATGTTCACCCTCAAATACAATAGTTGTTCTCCCGATGCGTTTACAAAAAATATTCTTGAAACAGAGAGATGACAAAATCTCTATCAGCAAGTTTCGTTAAATATCTTGACGTTCAATGGACTGAGTGACAATGAATTATTATTATGTGTTTCATCAATACTATAATTGGATTACTCTAATTTGTCAAATGTTATTCATTTGAATTGTGTAATAATATGTTCAAAAACACGTTCCCTACTGACAAATCGGAATTTTTATTATTTTTGAAATCATTAAAAAATAATCTTTTTCCAGGACACCTCATTTATAATAGAACGGATACCGTCGAAACATCCATCCCAATTGACTTACCCGGAGGTTCTCAAAACTTCCGTAATAACCTAGAAGAAACAGCTCTAGGATCAGGGTTTACAGTACAAACCTTAGGGGTTGGTGGAGAAGGAAGTGAAAGCAGCCTAATAGGTTCAGTTTCGGGAACCGATAGACGACAGGGGGGATTTCAAAGTCAGTCTGGAAGTCAGTATTTCAGAGCGGGAGGATCTGCTTCTGCTGGAGAAACTGGACAGAATTATCGTGGACAGGCAGCTTCTGGAAAATCTGGTAGTTTCAGGACTGAATGGACTGCAGATGGAGGTTACTCTGAAACTGGAACAATTCCTCCAACTTTCTTCCACAATAAGGTCGAAGTAGATAATATTCCTGTTGGCACACGAAATGATCGGGTATCTAGATCTAGAGAGAAAAGAATGATTCAAAGAGATCCGTACCAGGAGATACAAGCAATGGCTAAGTGCAATTCCACTAATTGTGTATATATAAGATGTGTGGTAGCAGATCTCGAAAAGGATAAGGAGGTTGTGATAGCATTGAGGTCTCGGTTAAATGTCAGAGCGATTAGAGAGGTAAGATTTTTAATACCTCAACAAATTAGAATCGAAATTTTACAAACAACTACAGAGATACATCGTCATAAATGCGAAAATACGAAACTAATCTATCTAGTAGGTCGCTATTAGCGATACTGACAATTGAATTGGTCGCTGACGCTGACAGTTTGTGAATTTTCGAAATTGAATTATTACTAATTGTGTGTTGTTGTTCTGTTTTAAATTTGTTACTTTAATAATTCAGTTGTCATTAAAATGGCATACACAAATGAGGAAATGGCTGATATGCATTACGTTTACGGTCCGTCGCAGGAGAATGGGTTAGAAGCTTCTAGAAGATATGCTGAAATGTATCCTCAACGGCAGCATCCTTCACATAGAATATTTGCTCGACTTCATCAACGATTACGAGAATATGGTTCATTCGACAAAAGAACGCAGGATTGTGGTTGCCATCGAGAAGTACAATGTTGTGTGTTTTGTTATTAATAAATTAGTTTTGTTTATTACCCTTTAATCGTTTAATGCAGGTACTAATTACAAAATAACAATAAATCCAGTTCGCATTCATGACGATGTCTTTCTGTAGTTGTTCGTAAAATAATTTTTTGCTGCGAACTGGTTTATTTTGGGCAAAAAACCCACAAGAGACATTTTTTGTTCAGAATAAAACAGGCTATCGGAAATAAATTTTTAAATGGTAAACAAATAAGACAAAAAGTTACATTGGAAATACATTTTAGGGGTTGCGTTTTCCACCCCTTACAACCATGGGGTAAACCAAATAAACTACTAGCTAAGTGTCTTTTTGGTAGTAGAAAACGTCAGGTTAATTTCAATATTGTAACTTTTTCAGCGCTTGTGAAAAAAATTATACAAATTTTATGTACCATCTTTAAGGGGCTGTATCTTAACAAGGGATGCTCCAATGAAATTTCTTTATATGAAAGATCGTATCTTTTTTTCGATGAGGAATCACCTCCTTAAATGTTTTACACTTATTCAGTTACACCCTGTATATAGATATACTGCTGTAGTTTCTTCGATTTCTGAACTGACTCTATCTGTATTGAGATTTTTCAGCGCCGCTATTTCCCGTCGTGTTGTGTTTGCCTTGGTGGTTTTGCGTGCATTGAAATCCTTCGCGTTATGGATTTGCTCAGTGATGTCGTTAAGTAAAGTATGAAAGCTTGACATTGGAAGTGCTATCCTAGGCTGGAGCTATAACGAAGTTTCCACCTTTGGCGAGTATACCGCACTCGTCATTTTAACGTGTCCGATCGGTGAGGTCGACCACTGTTTGTGTGTTGTACTGTTCAGGATTTTTCTGGCTCTCACTGAGATTCTCGTTGTTCTTTATATTAGCGAAGTTTCTACCAACTCGAGCACTGACCACATCGCATAAAAACCTGCAGACCACGGCAAAAAATCCCGGAAAATAGTTCTCACACAGTTATCTCCGGTCGTGAAAGTTAATATTCTTTGAGTAACTATGTTTCCGTTTTTTTTAAATTAATGAGAAAATTAATAAGAATAGACCTTCAGATTTTTTTTATAAGGATACAACTCTATTGTGAAATTTATGATAATGTATTGATAATATTGGAATAAATTATGTACGAACGTTTTCGAAAATTAACATTTGTAATTCGAATATCATTTCCAGCTTACATCCAATCAGGCTGTTAAAGTATCTTCGATGGTAATTGGAAAAATCACGAAATTACCCTATCTTGGAAACGTGAGAGAACAAATATCGAAAAAACACGAAATATTCACAGACATTCCTGGCAAAGAAGCTGAGTTAGTTCCTGAAGTAGTGCCATTGTGGGTATATATCGTGTCATCGGTGGCTGGTATCATTATGCTGCTCCTTTTGATATGGATACTCAGTAAGGTAAGAACCATGGCGTCATTTCCTTCGATTCTGGAAATAACATCTTCTTTTTATTCAAGTGTGGATTCTTCAAAAGAAATAGACCTTCTTCCGCGCCAGAAAGACAACCACTGAATAGGAATGGATATCACAGTGGTGACGAAGCCCTTTAGTTGGAAATGCAGAACTGTAATGAATTACTCAGTAACTATTAGGACTACTGCCTAACTCGAGACTCAATTTTTAATTTATTATTATTGTGTATATGTGTTTAGTCGAATACTTTTAGTTTCCGTAACATTCGAACTCTTAACTTCTAACATATCAACTCGAAAGAGTTCAAGCTTTCTCGTTAGTGATTTTATATAATGCCGAATATTGTTTTGTGCTTTCATCCTTTTTTATAACTTATCCATCCGTAACGGTTCGTCCTGAAGGCCCGGAAATATGGCATTCAATTTATCAGCACTCGGTGTGCGCAGACTGGATTATTTTATGAACTTTATTTTCAAAGAATCAAATGTGCCACTCGTAAGCTAGGTTTATGAATAATTTTTGATGATAAAAGATTATTGTACGTTTTTGTTAAGTCGATATGGCCGGACAATTGTTCATCCTCTTTCTTGTTGTACATTATCTATTTTTAAATGATTATTTTTATTATATACTTTTTGTTGTTGAATTGATGCGAAGATGAAGTCTGTACGTACTTATGATCTAATTTCTCGAACTGTATAAAGCTTTACGTATTTTTGTCCAACGACTCTGTAAATTATAACAATCGAAAAAATATTTATAACAAACTGTGAATAAATGACTAAGATAATTTATTGATCGGTTTATCATTTCTCAAATACAAGAAAATAAATATTTGGAAATAAAATCTCGAAATATGCATCTCTCCCAACTACCCACACGATAGGTTCTGGTGAATGCCTTCCGGAAAACAACTTCTTTCCTGGCTAATACTACGCTGAATATTGAATTATATCCGACATACATTCATGCAAGATACCTCATAGAGGTTAATTACGCATATCTTTCTCGTTCATTCAGACGGACCATGCTGAAATTTTGCTAGTAGATCACCTACAGACCGGATTCGAGGTAATTTTTGAGGATAAAACACAAGTACTACAGGAAAATCCTCAAGGCGCTCTCAGAGCGGTGCCTGTGCGTAAGTAGCGATTCACATTGGATTCGAATCGCTGGATATTAAATCCATTTGGAAAAACGTTCTCAGGAAGTTTATTCCACATAAACGCAGTTCTCCAAATGAAAGAGTTCTTAAACAGTGAAGTTCGAGGTGTCCTGAGTTGAACCTCAAAACGAGAGCAGCCACAGTCTGTCGCGTCTTTCTGATATGCACCGCTCTTAGTGGAATCAGATGTACCAAGTCACTTGAACACCTCCCGTTGAAGTATCTATAGAAGAGAGACAAATCGCCAACCTTTCTTCGATGTTCCAGGCTATCAAGGTTGCACGTGCGCGTTGCGCGTCTCCAAAGAGGCGGATGGCTCTTTTCTGGATGGGATCCAGCAACTTCAGGATATGTTTGGGGGCAGAACTCCATACATGAGAACAATACTGCAAAGAAGGTCTGATCTGAGCTTTATAAAGTATCAAAAGTTGCAGAGGTGTGTACAGTTTTCTGGTTCGGAACAGTGTTCCAAGCTTTTGAGAAGTAGCCTTTGCAATTCCAGCGACATGATTGTGCTAAGATATTGGTGTTCATTTTAATCCCCCAACAAACTCATCAAAGCAGAAAGCGGAATTGTCTGATCTGACATTATTATATCCGGTTCGGAGACATTTGTCTTCTTGGAGAAAACCGATGCCTGGGTTTTTGGGGCATTGCATTCAACCTGGTTACTTTCACTCCAATTCGAAATCACTTCTCCCACTGCCGGTAAAGATGTGCCTCCGTAGCCGATGTCCTGGAATCCAAATGGAATGACGAGACAAGTGTGCTGTCGTCAGCAAAGCAAAATATTGAATTCTTGGTTTTTTACAATAAAAAGATAGTTGGAAACAATATGGATCCTTGGGGAACAACAGTGTTGATGGTGAAAGTATTCGAGAGATATCCATCGACAGTCACTTGCCAGGCACGTTCTTTCAGGAAGCTGAAGAGCCATACACAGAAATGATCCGACAAACCATAGCATCGAAGTTTGGCCAGCAAACCCTCATGCCACACACGATAAAAGGCCTTAGAAATATCAAACACAACAGCTCTTGACTCTCCAAGTTTCTCGATTGCCTTATTCCAAATATGGATGACATACGATAGAAGGTCTCCTGTTGATCTTTTTTTCCGGAAGCCATATCAATGATCGCTCAAAATGTTGAAGCCTTCTAAATATTTGAGGATATGGTGGTTTATGACTTTCTCCATGATTTATTATATCACTAATAGCAGAGCGACTGATCTATAGTCATTTGGAAGGTTTTTCTTGCCCTTTTTGGGAATAGGCTAAACGTGAGCAATCTTCCAACAGAAAGGAAAAACTTCTTTCTTGTAAGATAGGTTGAAAAGTCTGCAAAATACTGATGCGAGTTCATTTGCGCACTTTCTAAGTACGATGACGGGCAATTCATCAGAACTAGACGCCTTGTTGATATTGAACTACTTCAAAATTCGCCTCTAGTGTGGAAATAGTGGGTAGTGCCTCCCACAAAAAATCAACTGTGAAGTGGGACGCAAATTGCTCAGCTAGTAGATTTGATTTTTATATAACTGTTGTTGCAATTGAACCATCCGCTTGTATTAGCGATGGAAATGTGGATTTTGTAAAATTCTAATTAACAGCTTCAGATGCCGACCAAAAGGGTCTAGACCCCTTGGGATTGGCAAGAGTTTATTCTGATGATCTGATGGTCAAGTTCTTTGCTTTCATTGCAACAGTTTGCAGCTGTTGCGACCATTAACAAACCTAGTTCGGTTTTCAGCACTAGGATTTTTGCGCCACTGCCGGTAGGCATTTTTACGTTTCCTACACCGTGAACACTACTTGTTGCGCTGACGAGCTAGGAAATGTAATGAGTGCCAAACACTCCGATCCCTACACAGTGGGTGCAACGCCACGAGCCTTATTATTTCACGCTTTTTTTTTGCACGCTGCAATCCACATACCATATTTATTCATTTCATATGGTGCCAGTGAGTCATCACGTACAAACGTTGTTTTGTGAAAGTATGATTGTCAATATGAATCAGGGCGGAGAAGACACTGTAACTGAAGCTATAAACACGTTTGATTGTAATATCAAAATAATTGACATCGACCAAAAAAAATTTATTCTGAAAACCAACATCGACAGAGATGTAGATATTACCGCAAAAATTGGATTAAAAGTTTTTCTAAATCTACTTGCATTGAGTGGATTGTAAACAGAACATATCCTGAAATAAAAAACTAAAGTATCGAAAATATTGGGTTTGTCAGCACAATGCTAAAAATAAGGAAACAAAAACAAGCAGCCTTAGGAAAAGAAACAGGAACTGTGGCGTCAAAACCTTTAGTGAGGTTAAAAATGAAAACAAATTAAAGATGCAGGGATCCTTTGCTCAAGAAGGGTCTAGACACCATTGTAGAAGTAAGTTTTTTTTTGGAGAAATGTTATTACAACAATATCAATTCAATAAATTTCAATTGCATATTACGCATTGCCACAGAGTTACGGTGGAAGAAGCCTATAGCTGTCTGAAAGTAAGCTCGTCTACAAAAGATCAGTTTTTAAAGTACTTTAGTAAAGGATTGACTCCTAGCGAAGCCAAAAATTTCCATAAGTCGACACTAACGGCTACTATTCAAGTGATAAAAAATGTGAAACTCTTGTCAATGCCCAAGTCAATCCTATGGAACGCTCAATTTATTATTTTTATGAACAAAGGAGGTACGTAAACTGAGAGAATTTTTTTGCTACGATAGAGAGATTTTTCACAGCAGCAAAATCGTTTTAGCAAAGCTTTTTTTAGCCACCAAAAAAACAGTTATTTAATAGTAGTAAGAAATTGAATGGTGCATTTTATGGTGCATTTATTCAAATTTATCAAATTGTTTAATAAATACCCATTACACAATTTTACCTACTATTAGAATGTATGTATATGACAGATTAAATTGATATTATACATTACAAATTATCACCTAATTTGTTTGTATTACTGTTAGGAAAAACCTACTATCTACTACTACTACCACTATGACCTACTGTCAAGCATTTTGAGGCGACAGCTTGCTCACAATTTTTGTTGATCCAAGGTTTGCCATTAGAAGGTCGTTTCGTTGAAAAAGGAGTATATGCATCCATTGATGATAAAATAACTTCCGTGACTTCAGAAGCACAGATGGATTTTTAGAGCTGAAACAAACATCCAGCCAGGGGAAATTTCGGAAATGGTATTGAAGATTCTCCCTGTAATGCCAAACTTTTCGCGGCTCAGATTGTTCCCCAACATTGAAATGAGTTTGTGGTCAGAAGATCCCAATGGAGACCTTACGGTGACTGTAAATTTCTGGATTGGTTGTTAGGTATAGATCCAGAAGACTAGCATATTCTCCATCACGGTCAGGAATCCTGGTTGGCTCATTTATAATCTGAGTAAGTCCGCTGCTTATTGCAAAAGCCTCAGCTTCGCGACCTTGTTCGTCGTTGATATTTGAAAATTTGAGCCATTCGATAATGTGGACATTGAAGACACCGAATATGGAAATTTCGGCACTGGCATCAGTGCAGAAAAAATCCGACCCAAACAACAAAGTGTTGTTTTCAACTGTTGAATTTTTCTGAGAGGAAATATAGAACCTACTCCTTTTCATTTGTTCATACTTCTCTCGACATCATACGATTTTTATATTATAAAAACAACATATTTTCGTGTTTCATTTATTTTACATAATATAACAAGATAGATATGAGTACAAAAAAATAATAAAAATTAATATTAACTCAAAATGAAGTATCAAGTTTAATTTTTCAGCTTCCATTTTCACCTCCACGTTCTTCCCACTTCCACTCATAAAACAAAATTATAGCTTTCATCAAAATGGTTTTTAGTATAGATATTTTCTGACATCTATATGACGCAAGTGATCATTTGAGGACAAATAAATCTATTATTATCATAAATACGATAAGAAAATGAATATTTCTAATGAATTTGTAAATTTCCCCCAACTGATCTACACAGTATGGTCAACGTGCGTAGCAGTATTAGCCATGGAAATTTATATGTCTTTTTTTAGGTAATTTTTCGGTAATTGCTGATACTTTTTTCCAATTTGCATATTTCGAGTAGAATGCAAATTTTATCGACCCATCGTAATTTTCATCAAATCACATCTATTTGGAGTCGAACAAATTATTTTCAATAGCCGACCAGAATATTTATACTATACACTCAAATTTTTTTAGGTTTTGAAGTTTTAGCATTAAAATATCATCAAATATTTTAGTACTGATTAAAATCAATATGAAGATAGGCAGTATTCATTATCTCCAATTATGACTTATTGGGTCGTTGGCAATACATTCGGAAGTAACAATTATAAAGTTTTATAGAATGTAAATCGAAGAAGTAGATATTCAGCAGGATTCTATAATTCAATCCTTTCTTTCGTGAAAGAAGTTGAGAAGAAAATGTCAGTGTTTTTTTCATAACACAGAGCAGCAAATAAATGATCCGGTTGGGCAAAGTAACTACTGTTTTACAGTGTGCTAATTCCAAAATCACAAAACTTTTCTTTCTATCAGCTACCATTTTTAAACTACAGTGTTGCCAACTTATATGTTTGTTTCTTCTGAAAATCCCTAATAGCTGTGAAG